TACCTCGGGTCCGGCGCCGGGCACGGGGCGGGAGGGTCGCGCGCCCCGCTATCCGCGCAGTAGGCGTGAGGCCCCGTGGGGACGCCGGGAGGAGTTGGAGAAGTTTCGGGGGGTGGAGGGTCACTTTGTTCTCCGCTGGGGCGCGCGCGGTGCGCCGGAGGCGGCCGAGGCGGTGCCCGCCCTGCGCCGAGCGCCCTGAAGACCAGAACTGCGGCCGCACCTTTCCCCTCAGCGGCCCGCGGAGCTCCCCGCCCCGCCCCACCGGAACACGCCCTCGGCAGCCCAGGGCCACGCCCCGTCCCACGTGGCCACGCCCCCTACCCAAAGGGACCCGTCCGAAGCAACCAGGAGCCACGCCCCTTCCCTTTAGCCCCGCCCCGTCCCACCTGGACACGCCCCCATCCAACCAGAGCCACACACCCCGTTCTGCTTGGACTCGCCCCCGATTCACCGGGACACGCCCTCGTGCGCCCAGAGCCACGCCCCCACCCCCACCGGGCCACGCCCCCGCGCCAGCCTCCCTATCCCCTGGGTCCGACCCAACCTTCGGCCCAGCGTCCTCCCCACCCCTCCTACTCCGAATCCTGAGCAGTTGCTCCTAAAGCCGATGTCCCGCGGTCCTCGCCCGGGGGCCCAAGGCTCAGCCCGGGACCGGGGAGGGTTCGGAGCGGTGAGGGAGTCCCAGCGTCACTCAGATGCTCCGAGAAGCAGGCTCCAAGGCAAGACTTAGATGTGAAGGCGAAGTTTCTTAGGGGGAAACAGGGAGGAAAGACAAGCCAAGGAAGGAGGGAGGCAGCTGGGCTCGTGCGGGTCCGACCCCGAGGGAAGGGCAAGGGAGGGGACCCGAGGGCGTCCGCAGATTCGGAGAGGGAGGAAGATTGAAGGAGCAGGAGAAGAGGGAGAAGGAGCAGCCACGCCAGGCAGTGGTGGCTCATGCCTGAGATCTGAAGATCAGCCAGCCCGGCAGAAAAGTCCCTGAGAGACTCTTATCTCCAATTAACCACTCAAAAACCGGAAGTGGCGCTGTGGCTCAAGTGGTCGATTGCTAGCCTTCAGCACAGAGGTTCAAGGACAGTGCCCAGGCCCTGAGGTCAAGTCCCACAACTGACAGGAAAGAGAGAGAGAGAAAGACAGGAAGGAAGAAAGAAAGGAAAAAAATTAAAAGGGCAGGGGGACAACTTTCCTACAATGGAACTCAAAGTCTTCAACTCCCAACAGCTGTGGTTCTCTGAACCAGGCATTCCAAGGCCCCTAGCACAGAGGTCCTACTTCTGAATCCTTACCAGAATCGTTACATACCGTGGCTCTGCCTAGGAAAGTCCCTCCCACACCACTCCCCCTTCCCACCTCCATTCAGCATCACCACCCATTCACCGTGCGGCTTCTTACTTCTGCATAGACCAGCCATGCTGAGGGAATGACTTTGGCCTTGCTTACTGTATTGCATTTTCCACACCATGTTAGCGTGCTTATTTCTTTTTCTGATTGTAGAAGTATTCTGTGTTGCACAAACGTAGAAAACACATATGATCCAGATGGCTCCAGCTGCCCCAGTCTTGCAGAGAAACCTTTCTTTGAGAGGCAGATACCCAGAGCCTACAGCTCTCATGTATCAGTCTGGGTCCAATCAAAGGAGAGAAACCACACAGTAACTCACACAGTGCAAGTTTAATGTAAAGAATAATTTACTGTAACGGCATTTGGAATAATGAGGGGTTGGCTAGTAAGAGGTAGACAGAAATCCAGAGAAAACAGGAATGGCAGATGGGAGGTTTTAAGCTACAGCCACCAATCCCTAGGGCTAAGATAAAGCTCTCACTGGTGAGCCTTCTCTTTCCCCTGAGGCTGAGAACCAGACCGTATTAGACAGAGAGCAGCTGAGGCCCACTAAACAGCACAGATGTCAGTGTGGTGTCATGTCAGTTGGACCTGTTGAAATTCACCCTATAGGGTGTGGGGAAAGTATACACAGGAGGTGTCTCATCACAAAAGCACCTGGAAGGCAGGCTTGGTTCCAGGACAGGCTAATGCCTCTGGAAGCTCTGGAGAAACTGCCTGCTCAGCAGAAGCCTGCCTGCAACCATCACAGCCACCAGAAAACAAAACTGTCTCCCAGCAATAACTGTTCCCGACCGGCAAAGCTCAGCAACAAGCCCAGTGGGAAAGGCGATTCTTTAAAGTGCCTGGATCTACTCTGGGAGTAGAACAAGTTGTCCTTCTGCTGAATTCTATCTTAAAAGATACTTTACCATCCTGTCTTGCAAGTATAGAAGATTGTTTTGAGTGGTAGCATTTTTCCTCTTTCTGTTTTTTTTTTTCTTTTCCCCCTAGCATCCAAAGAAGAGTCTTCCTGCCATGTAAACGCTGCCTCGGCTTGAGTTCCACCAGCTAGAAGGGCCATCAAGCACACATTCACCTGACGGCAACCCCAGACGAAATCCTAGCCGCTCATGTACATGTTCCCGGCCTGTCTGCAGACACTGGGACCCCACAAGAGGTCTAAGTGCATTCTATGATTCAGTGTCCCAGAACACAAACAGGGGAACACACAGCACTCCTTCCCAGTGCCCAGATCCAGGAAGCAGGCAGACTATACTGACTCCAGCCAGGTCAGCCACACAACATAGGTAGCTCTGCCATTGGGTCAGGCTCGTTTTGGAGACGTTGAGTTATACAGAGGACAGTCTTTCAAAGGAAGTCTGAATCTTTCCTTTTTGAAGATTTCTTGGATCATGCTGTTGGCTGGGAGCTTGTGCGATTCACTTCACGGTACGTGTCAAGGACCTGAAAGAAAGAAGGAGGTAGGCTTGATTGGAGTTCCAGAAAGCTAATGTTAGCCCTAAATTTGGTTCAACATCCATTTGCATGTGTGTGGTTAAGGGATAAAGCTGCATGTATTATGTATGTATGTATGTATGCCTGCATGCGCAAATATTCTCCTTTCTCTCTCTCTTTCTCTGTGTGTGTGTGTGTGTGTGTGTATGTGTGTGTAGCCACATGTATATGCCAGTATGGGGGCTTGAACTCAGGACATGGGTGCTGTCCCTTAGCTTTTTCACATAGGACTGATATTGTGCCACTGGAGTCACAGCTCCACTTCTTGGTTTTTGCCCATTGGAAACAAGAGTCTCATGTACTTCCCTGCCAACCTGGCTTTGAACACTCAATCCTCAGATCTCAGCCTCCTAAGCAGTAGTAGTATGGATTCTCTTTTCTTATTTTTACTAGCTCTCCTTTTCACTGAGTCTAATCTGCATATTCTTTTTTTAATCTGCATATTCTTAAAGGAATACAAAAACTACTGCTATATAGTATGACTAAAGTTCCGTGTTTCACAAAATTGCTCAAGACCCCAAATCAAAAAACCTTGGCTATACTACAGAGAATCTTTTCTGACCAGAGCCAATACCATTCCTACCCCATCTCCAGGCATTTACAAAGACAGAGGTAAGTCTCATGGGCTTTTCTGCCCAGGCTGGCGCTGGCTTTGAACCTCGATCTTTAAATCTCAGCCTCCAGAGTAGATAGGATAACAGGCATGAACTAACAATGCCCTGAAAAAATATGTTCTAAAAACGTTAACATTCTCTGTGTTTAAATATCAAAATTCCCCAAATTAGAAGTAGGATATATTTCCTTTGAGAATTCTCAAGGGCTTTAACAACTATAATTTTTAAACTGGCCTGCCTGGGCCTTTAAAAATCACACAGCACAGGGCTATGTCCTGGGGTTCCCAAGTTTCTCTGTGAAAGTAGGAAACGTTCATAAAACTCAAATACAACTGCGCCCTAAATACCAGCATCTCTCCCACACATCTGTTTTTATACTTGCACCAGCAGTCTATTTAGTCTCTCTGTGAAAAGCTTCCTTAATTATATGAAATTAGCCATTTACCACATAGCAAGAATGCAGAAGAGAGCAGTCAGGATTTCCATTGCTTAGGGAATGTGCTGGAAGGCTGCGATCAGAAGCAGGAAGTGTGGTGTGGAGGTAATGAGAGCTGGGCTCTTGGGCTTCTTGTACTGGATTCCAGATCAGGGCGGTGGGAGAATGCATCCTGGTCAAGCAGGGGCATTTCTTCCCTGCTGACCCAATAGCTTATCTCACAAAGTGACAGTTACATTACACTTCTGCCAAGCTGTAAGAAATGTTTCTGGCTGTCCCTAGTCACATGTGGGGTTTAGCTCAGCCGCAAACTCATGCTGCAGATACTTTGGGTGTTGCCCTATTGAAACTGTGAAGTGAAAACTAGCTTTTCTATGTGTTGTTTTAACTCAGTAATGATGACACAGAATGTTCTTTCTTTCTTCATTTATTTATTTTTGATCTGTTGTGGGGCTTGAACTCAGGGCATAAGTGCTGTCCCTAAGCTCTTTTGTTCAAGGTTAACACTCTGCCACTTTGAGCTACAGCTCCACTTCCAGTTTTCTGGGTTTTTTTTGGGGGGGGGTCGGTCGTGGGGCTTGAACTCTGGGCCTGGGCACTGTCCCTCAGCTCTTCAGCTCAAGGCGAGCACTCTACCACTTGAGCCACAGCGCCACTTCGGCTTTCTCTATTAATGTGGTGCTGAAAAATCGAACCCAGGGCCTCATGCATGCGAGGCAAGCACTCTACCACTGAGCCACCTTTCCAGCCCCCACTTCCAGTTTTCTGGTAGTTAACTGGAGATAAGAATCTTGCAGGGCTGGGAAGGTGGCTCAGTGGTAGAGCGCTTGCCTTGCATGCATGAGGCCCTGGGTTCGATTCCTCAGCACCACATAAGCAAAAAGAAAAAAGCCGAAAGTGGCACTGTGGCTCAAGTGGTAGAGCGCTAGCCTTGAGCTGAAGAGCTGAGAGACAGCGCCCAGGCCCAGAGTTCAGGTCCCACGACTGGACCACCCCCCCCAAAAAAAAAAGAATCTTGCAGACTTTCCTGCCCAGACTGGCTTTGAATGGTGATCCTCAGATCTAGCTTCCTGAGTAGCTAGGATTACAGGCATGAGCTACTGGCACCCAGCCAGAATGTTCTTATGATGGAGAAATGCACAGGGGAGATTAAACAAGAGTCTTAACACAAGGGCGGCAAATGGCTGAGAATGCTTGATCATGGAAGGGCCAGAGAGAGGAAGGCTCAAGTACTATGGTAACATCCCCTCAGAGAAAAGAAAGGCAGCTGGGCGCTGGTGGCTCACAGCTGTAATCCTCAGTACTAAGGAGGCTGAGATCTGAGGATCACAATTCAAAGCCAACACAGGCAGGAAAGTCTGTCTGTTAGACTCTTATCTCCAATTAACCACCAGAAAACTGCTAGTGGAGCGGTAGTTCAAAATGGTAGAGTGTAAACCTTGAGCAAAAGAGCTCAGGGACAGCACTCAAGCCCTGAGTTTAAGCCCCACAACTGACAAGAAAAGAAAGACAGAGTTCTTTGGGGAAAGAAAAAAAATTACACCTGTAAACCTTAGTCCATAGTCCATTGGGGATTTTTTTTTTTTTTTTTTTTTGGTGCTGGTACTGAGGCTTGCACTCAGGGTATGGGCGTTGTCTGAGTTTGTTTTTTGTGTTTTTTGTTTGTTTGTTTTTTCTCAAGGCTCTACAGCTCCACTTCCAGATTTTTTTTTCTTTTTTAAGTTCTTTGGAGCCGGACATCAATGGCTCACACTTGTGATACTAGCTACTCAGGAGGCTGAGATCTAAGGATCATGGTTCAAAGCCATCCCAGGCAGGAAAATCCATGAGACTCTTATTTCCAATTAATCACCAGAAAACTGGAAGTGGCGCTATGGCTCAAGTGATAGAACATAGCCTTGAGCTGAAGAAGGAAGGAAGGAAGGAAGGAAGGAAGGAAGGAAGGAAGGAAGGAAGGAAGGAAGGAAGGAAGGAAGGAGAAAGATAGAATCAGTGTTTGGGGAAACAACCTGATTTAAGCATGATATAATGTACACATATATCAAAGCATAACAGTTTCCTATTAATGTGTGCTATTTTTATGTATCCGTTAAAATTTTTAAATAAAGTTAAAAGGCAACTATAGGTGACAAGTGCTATATTCAAAGTTATTTCTTTTCCTTAACTAGTTTCACCTTGTCAAAGTGAAGTTCATGCTTCAAGAACAAGCTGAATAAGCTGGAAAGACCAACGGTGCCACAGAGATCCCAGAAATCCCCTGAAGAACGCAACCAGCAATTCACCCTAGCCTTGCACATAGTAGGTAGGCAATGAGTATATGTTTATAAGGGAACCCAATGTAAAGGATTACAAAGTGGTATAAACAGTTGGATGATGCTTCTATATCAGTGAATATTAAGAATTTGAAATTATAAACGTTATCAATCTTAGAAAGCAATCGCCCTATATTTGAGATGAACAAATCAGCTGCAGAGTGGAAGGCAGGAAATCTAGTACTTACAGGAAATATGCCATGAGATCTGTCTACATTTCCGCATCCTCAATTTTCCATTACTCCAAACCACAGGTTTCTCTAAGTGTGTTTCCATTAAAGTCCAACAAGGAACACATACTTTCCAAATGTCTTATAAGTTTGTACCAAGAAACTTCAAAGCAGGCTTTAAAGAAAACAGTCAGCACAGGCTAACACTAGCCAGCTTGCCTGAAGTCTGCATTCTCGCCGTACGAAACAGAACCACAGAAGAGTCACATGGAGAGTAGCCATACAGAGAGTGGCTCTGGGCTCCGAAGTCAATGGCGATAACCACGGCGCTGTGCAGGACTGGCATTGTGCTCCTTGCTTTGCCTGATTTGTATTTACAAAGCAAAGCTCTGTCTATGTGACTCAGGCTGTGGAAATGCTTGACTTGGCAGCCAATGTGGGTATTCCTTCTCAGACCTCAGTGAAAGTCCAGGGGAAATAAAAAGGCCAGCACTTACATGCCTGTCCTTGTGCCATCCGCAGTGGTCCCAGCCAGCCCTGCCAAGAGCCACAGTGGAAGGGGGAGGCTGGAAAGACAAGAGTGTCCTGAGCTAAACTTTACTCAGGCAGCTAGAGAATTGGGTGGGATTGACTGGGAGTCTTCTTTCTCTTCCTGTTTCTCTATTTCCCAGTCCTCCTCTCCCCCTTTCTTTTCCTGCAGGTTTCTTGTAAAAATAAAAAGATCATTTGTTGAATGGTAACTCCTTTGTACAATTACCTATAGACAATAAAAATATAATTTGAAAAATAATAATAAAATAAAAATATTTAAAAAATTTAGCCTGCATATGGTGGTGCATGCCGATAATCCCAGCTACTTGGGAGGCAGACGTAGGAGGGTCTTGGTCTGAGACTAACCATGACAAAAGCTTAAGTCCCTTCCTGAAAAGCAAATCAAGCAAACAAACAAAAAAGCTGAAGTAAAAATGATTGGAGGCCAGGGACCAGTAGCTCATACCTGTAAATAATCCTAGCTACACAGGAGGCTGAGATTTAAGGATCACAGTTCAAAGTCAGCCCAGGCAGGAAAGTCCATGAAATTCTTTTCTCTAACCACCAAGAAAGCTAGAACAAAGCTGTGGTTCAAGTGGTAGTCAGTCTTGAACAAAAAAACCTAAAGGACAATGGCCAGGCCTGGAGTTCAAGCCCTGGCACAAAAATGATTGAAGGCATACTGCTTAGCATGTATGAGCTCCTTAGTTAAAAAAAGCATTATTGCAAAAGGAAGGAAGGAGGAAAGGAAGGAAGGGAAGGAAGGAAGGAAGGAAAGAAGGGAAGGAGGGAGGGAGGCAGGGAATCAAGGAGGAAAGAAAGAGAAAGAAAGAAAGAAAGAAAAAGGAAGAAAAAGAGAGAAAGAGAAAGGAAGAAAAAGAAAGAA